GGGGAAGGAAGGATGTGTTTCCACAAATTCTATATATTGCAGGCAGTGGTTAACAACACATGACTTGTAGTTACCCATTGACTCAGCAAATATTAATAGCACCTAGTCTGTGCCAGGTCCTGTGCTAGGTTCTAGAGATAAAACAGGGAATACAATAGATATGGCATCTTTTTCTCATGAAGCTCTCAGCATAGTAAGGAAGACAGACATTGAACAAATTATTAGGTTGGTACAAAAGTAACTGCAGTTCTTGCCATTACTTTTAACAGTAAAAATCACAATTACTTTTGCACCAATCTAATATTATAGACAAGAGGTTTATTATGAAAAAGAAAGTATAGGTGACTGCTCTGGGGACATATGATTATGGAGCCTAACCCAATTGACAAGAAGGGGAGTGTATTAGTCTGTTCTCATGCTGCTAATATAGACATACCAGAGACTGGGTAATTTATAAAGGAAAGAGATTTAATGGACTCACGGTTCCACATGGCTGGGGAAGCCTCATAATCATGGCAGAAGATGAAGGAAGAACAAAGGGATGTCTTACATGGCAGCAGGCAAGACAGAGAGCATGTGCAGGGGAACTCCATCAGAACTTGTGAGACATATTCGCTATCACAAGAACAGCATGGGAAAGACCCGCCCTCGTGATTCAATTACCTCCACTGGGTCCCTCCCACAACATATGGGAATTACAGGAGCTACAATCTGAGATTTGGGTGGGGACACAGCCAACCCATATCAGGCAGAGAAATCAGGAAGAGGGAAACAAAGGAAATGGGAAAACATCCTCCCTAAGCTATGGGGAGTAACAGTTTAGCCAAACAAAGGTTGGATTGCATCAGAGTGCTGGAGACTGAGACACTACAACAGAGAAACAGTATGGGCTGTTCTAGCCCTTTAGTGTAGTACAGACATTGGCAAACTAAATCTGGCCAGCACCTATTTTTGTAAATAAAGCATTATTGGAACACAGATATGCCCATTCACTTACGTATGGTCTAAAGTCATTTTCACACGACAATTGCAGAGTGGAGTTGACTAGTTGCAAAGGAGATCACACGGCCTCTAACACCTGAAATATTTACTACCTGGCCTTAAACAAACAAACAAAAAAAGTTTGACATTTCTGTTTAGAGCAAGTGGCTTAATCATGGTTAGTAATGCTAGATGCTGTAACAAACTACCCCCAGATCTCAGTACTTATCCAATAAAATTTCTCTCTCATGTCCTAGCTCTTCAAGCAGCTGATCTGGGCAGGTTTTGTCAAAGTAGCGAAGACAGGAACACTGCCTTGTGATTTTACTATCTCCTGTCTGAGGGTACTGCACACCAGCTGTGCAGATGGAAAACAGTAAACAGAGTTGAGGATATGAAATGCATTAGGGACCAGGTCTGGAGTGATGCACATTGCTTTCATTCTCCTTCCATTAGTCATACGATCCCACCAACATCCAAGGGGAGGCTGAAAAAGAAGTCTTCTCTGTGCTTGGGAAGAAAAGGAAGTTTTGGGGAATACTTAGCTCTGCCTCTGCCACAGCAGACAAGATGTATTTTAAAACTGGGGCTAAAAATCCTGTGTGGTTGAATTTAGGTGGCATGAGGTAAGGCTGATAGGTAGGCAAAGGTCAGATTGTGGAGGGTCTTGTAAACCATGTCAAAGATTTATATTTTAACCTGGGTCTGAATTATCAGTTATATGACTCTGATGAGTTATATAACATAGCTAATCTAATCCTCTGCTTCTTCATCTGTGAAAAGAGAATGATGCTACCTGTTTATAGAATTGGACAGACTCAAAGAGATATAGTACATAGAGCTTTTAGAATATCACCTAACACACAGTAAACATGTAATAAATTGTAGTTATTTGTTACCAAAACAGAGGAAAGTTCCTCCACATTTCCCCCAAACTGGCCTTCTCCACCCACAGGCCCCAAAATGCAGAAGACCCTTCGCTAACCCAGTATTCCAAGACTTATCCCCTAAGAAAGAAATCAAAGCACCATGAATTGTTTCTCTACCATTCCATTGGCCTCCATGTTTGCTACCATCTTTTCAAGGGCACATTGGCCTAGAGAACAATCAGGTCCCAGAGTAACTATTTGTGAAATACAATTACTTCCCAAATCCTTTACCTTCCCTGAATCAAGATAAGATGATATTAGAAGCTCAGGGGAAAAAAAAAAAAAAAGTGTGTACACATATGTATATGCGTATGTATATGCACACAGATACCAAACAGGGCAAGGCTAGCGTGGTAAGACCCAGCTCATCACATATGCCTAACATCCTATACCTCTAGCCCCATCCTAAAGTTATTTTGAGTCCATCTTGACCTTTGGATTCCCTGCATGATTTTTAAGGAATGTTCCTGGCCTGAGGTCTCCACACTCTGGAGAAAGAAGAGTTTTTCTTGAGCTCAAGATAACATGTGAAAAACAAAACAAAACAAAAAAACAATAGAATAATATGAAAAACTGCAAAACTTTTTGAAAAATGAAAGACATCAGAAGGGGTGAGACAAGCAGATATTGAAAGATTTTATGGAGGTATGGCATGGTACTGACAAAAGAATAGACATCAGTGGTACAAAATATTAAAGTAAGAATTTAACATGGAAATATAATCAATGATGAAAGGGAAGATCATAAAATAAATTATGGTGCCATAAATTATTAGTAATTTGGAGGAAAATAGACCCTCACTCACACCATACACACACACCCCTTACCGATAGGAGGCAGGGCAGTGTAGTGAGGACAGCAGCAGCATCTATAGCCAGCAAGATGCCTGGGGCTCAATCCCAGCTCTATGATTTATTTAGCTGTGTTGTAGTCTTGTAAATTATGTAGTCCCTTTGTGCCTAGTTTTCCTTGCACATACATAGGGAATAATAAAGGTATTTACCCTACCAGGTTGTTAGGAGGATTGAGTGATTTAATGCATGTAAAACACTTAGAACTGTTTCTAACACACAATAAGCACTCGATATATGTTAGTCATCGTGTTGGGGAAAATCACAAGGAAAAGGTCACTTTCATTCAACATATTCTACTCTACATGTACGTCAGTATGTTACATGAATGAGGCTCTAAGAGATCAAAAAATAAATTAAGACACAGACTTGTCCTCAGAGAGGGGAGCTAGCAATCTAATATCAGTTAGGAATGTATCTACCCATTCTTATCCTTCAAAGGTGAGTTCTGGAACAGAACTGGAGTTGTTCAGCACAGCTTGAACATCTCGCAGACCTAATTTCTTGTTCATGTCACTGGAAATGCTTCCTGCAATAAATTTATTTTGTTCTATATATACGTTGTCATTCATCATTGCAATACTATTCTTATGGGAGAACAGATTATGAATAGTGTAATAACTATGACAAATAATAAACAAGTTTACTTGCTTCTGGCTCTAAGGGAAATAAATCAGCTGGCAGTTGCATTCTCTGCTCCACCCTCAACTCCCAAAAGGGAGTTGTCTATTACCGAAAAAGATCTGCAATTTTTTAAATTTGACTGTTTCTCCCCAAATCAAGACAAATTGCATCAATATTACAGAAAATTCCCAAATATTTCAGTATCTTTGCAGAGAATGTAGGATATATTCCAATGCCTAACGTCATAGTTTATCAGACATTGTAGCGAGTAAGGCTTTGAGATCTGCTCCTCATGGCTTGGAATCCCTTTCACCCTAACTTTCGTACCATGCATACATGACCATGACCAGTTACTTGACCAGACCAATTCTTCCTTGGGCATTAGGAAAATAAGTATTTCTTTGTCCTCTGAATTTTGATGGGAGACAAGCCTCTGGATCACACCACTTGCCTTTCTATACTTGTTTCTTTGCCTGGTTTATTTTTCTTCTCTTATGATGTAGGGTAGTGGAGAGAGAACTGGGATAGGAGTCACTAAGCGAATGGGTAAGATTTTGTCTCTTATTCAGTAGTAATTCTGCGGGCCTTGGCATCCTCTTGGTAAGAGGAGAGGGTATATTAGAATGTTCTTTCAGATAATTTCCAAACATGGCAATCTATGAAATGAACTTTCCTTATCCTTAGCATAAGCCTGGGTCTATCATTAGTCCAGCCATTTACTTTGGAAGCCTTACCCTCACCCCAGTCTGTTTTGGCCACTCTGAGTAAAAATCTACCCAAGAATTCACCTCTCCCAGTTTCATCATGCCGAACATAATATTCCCTTAATCCCATTCTGCATATCTTGCTATTTCTCCATTTACTGCAGAACAGCTGCAACCCAGACACTAAGTCACCATTCAGGATAACTGGTAGCTTTCAATGAATCACTTAGCAACTCTTCCAGGACTCTGTTTTCCCATCTAAGAAATAAGAAGAATATTAGCTATTCTTAATTCACATAATTATTATGACTTGGGGAGAAAATTGAATGAACTGTGTAAAGTGCTGTACAAAAAAAAATGAAATGGAAATCATTACTAGAATTACTTTCCCTAAAAATTGAAAGACACCTATGAGCCACATGAGGATATCTTTAATATTATTGTTACTACTATCACATGTTATGTTAATGCATATAAAATACTTAGAACTGTTTCTAACACACGGTAAGCACTCAATATATGTTAGTCATTGTAACCTTAGGGTTGACCTTAGGGTTTGAAACTCTTGTTGACCTTAGGGTTTGAAAACTGGTTTTATGCTTTGACTGAGCTTTCGAAATCTGAAAATTCTTCAACCTGACATTGACCAAATGTGCCCTATTGCTTTCCCTACACCAAACTTCTGGATGGTTGGCCACACTCAAAAGAGAATCACCTCCACCTTTTAGCGTAATTACAGTGCAATTACAAAATGCATATAATTTTGCTAAAACTGACCTAATAAATAAAATGTATCAATTTTTCATCATGGACAAGAAACTAACTAGACAAAATACACCAAAATTATTGTGTGATTCCAACTCTGATAAAATGTTTGACGGAAATCCCATCTCTCACTTTTTAGTGCTCACCTTTCACCATGCCTTGTACATTTATCATCCTCTCTGTGTTTACAACCTCTTCCTTTTGTTCACAAATTGTCATATTATTTTCACTTGTAGGATTAATTTTCCTCCTTTCAACCTAGAAAGGAATGAGTTGTTATGAATTTATTAACAAAGTAAAATAATATTCTCAAGTAAATGTACAGGCTTCATTGAATTGCAACTGATTTAACATCCCTTATCTCTCTCTCTCTGTGCCACTGGATTCCTTCGAAGAGTGTTCTGCAAGGGTTGCCCCAGAGCTTCTCCGAAAAGTCTCACCCAAAGGTCATCAATGACCATTTATCCCAGTGACTGACACATTTAATGGTTTCTTTATATCTATCCTACTTGATCTCAATGATAATTTTTGGCATGAATGATTACCCATTCATTCTGAAGCTCTCTCTTTTGACTTTTGTATCAGATACCTTCCCACCTGACACCCATTCCGGATCTCAGCCTCTTTGGTTAGTAGTGATGCAGTTCATGACACAAGAGAGATCAATGAATCCCCTCCTAATGAGATTAAGCCCAATCTCTGCTTTCTATGCTAATGACCAGTTCAGAAACCCAGGTCTGATGTATTCGGCATATGGAATTTTACTGACCAGAGAAGTTGGTTCAGAATAGGTATGTCAAGCCAATAAAAAATGCAAGAGCAAGATCAGTGGGAATTGGGGGAGCTAGGGGAGAAGTTTCTTTATGCTTGCAAGAGAACCACTGGAAAGCGGGCCTTGGTTATACATGGATGGGAAATCTCAAATTTCTGTGGCCATTTCCCCAACAGTCTAGGGAGAAACCCAACACCCAGAGGAGAGCATTTCTGGGAGAATCAGAAAGTGAATGGAGCTGGATCTGTGACTATAGCACCTGTTCTTGGTCCCACTTACCTACTTACCTCTAGAGTATTGCTCTATAGAGTATTTGCTCCATAAGCAGGTAAGTTCACTTTATCATTATAGCAATTTTCAGTTGGTTTGAGTGTTAATTGAGCTGAAAGCATCATAACTAACAATTTTTATAGCACTGTCTTCTTCATTCTTTTTCTACCTCACCAATAATTCTTTTCTTTTTTTTTTGAGACGGAGTTTTGCTCTTGTTTCCCAGGCTGGAGTGCAAAGGCGTGATCTCAGCTCACCGCAACCTCTGCCTCCCAGATTCAAGTGATTCTCCTGCTTCAGCTTCCGGAGTCGCTGGGATTACAGGCATGCGCCACCACGCCCGACTATTTTGTATTTTTAGTAGAGACAGGTTTTCTCTGCATTGATCAGGCTGGTCTTGAGCTCCCAACCTCAGGTGATCCGCCCACCTCAGCCTCCCAAAGTACTGGGATTACAGGCGTGAGCGACCAGGCACAGCCCAATAATTCCTTTAAATCGTGGATTGCACTAGCTCCCTTCTTCCATTTACCCGTTAACCATGGTGACTCCCTGATTCTATACTTTGACTTTTTCTATTTTCTCCTTCCTTAGCTTCAACTTTCACCTACTGCAAAACCTAAAATCAGTTACACTAGCCCAGATTTTTCTTTTGAGCTTAAGACACAACTTTTCACTTATTTTCCATATATATTGCCTTTAAGTATCCCATTCTGGGTGAGCTGAATCTATTACCTGCCTGTGAACTATTTCCCTACCACCCACTTCATGTATTTCATAGCCTAGTTTCTGTGACTTCAACCTTCAAAACATTTTTCTCCTCCCTGGTTGATGCCTGGGTCTTAGCCCTCACAGACATAAGGTCTTGACAGTTCTAACCTCATAAACCTCTCATTTTCTTCATGAGGCACACTCTCATCAGCCTAGTTCACTAGCTTATCATTTCCATCTGGACTTGCCTCCTAACTGGTCCTTTGCTTCCTCCAATGCATCCTCCACAAAGCCACCAGTGATTCCTCTCAAATACAGGCCCACGTCAAAATGTAAAATATCACTTTCCTGCTTAACATTACATAACATTACATACTATATTGCCTGTAGAATAAAGTTCATACAACTTAAGTGACTCTATAAAGACTTTTGCAACCATATCAGAGCTCACCTATTTAATCTCACCTTCAACCACTCTCTAAATATGAAGCCAGTCCTTGGCATGCTCCGAGCAAGCACACACCTGCCTGCCTCTATCTTGTGCCACTTATTTTCTCTGCCTTCAATGCTCTTTTTTGTTTCTGAAGCTGGTGGATTCCTGCTCATTTTTCAAGGCCTGAATAAAACATTATCCATTTTAGTAAATATTTCCGGATGACTCGGGCAAATTTCAGCATTCCCTCATCTTTTGTAGTTCTAGGAACAGAACTATATATGAGAGAAAGTCACATATGCTGTGGTAGATTAATGGTTATTAATATGTGCTGTACCTTCTCTAGTTTGTAATTTGTTAGGCTGTAAACCCAGGCTTTTGATGATTATCTTTTTAGGAACTATTCCATAATCTGACATATAGAAGTTCAAATATTATTTTTCAAATCAAAGAATGAAAGAAGAAAAGAAAATTAAAGGATTAGTGACTAGCTAGGAAGAAGCCTCTGTGGACTCAGTTTCCTAATCTGTAAAATGAGACAGATTTAGATGAATCCCTGTGCTTCCTTCTGCTCTAAAATTTTCCACAATTTTATGAAAATATTAGTAGAGCAACCCAGTGATTCTTTCATAATATGGTAAACTAACATTAAATTTTACAAACTATGCTCTGGTCAAAAATATGTACAAATTCAAACATGGAAAGAATTTTTCTTTTTCTTTAATGTGTCCGCCTGTTGCTACAGAAATGTGTTAGTTCTGGAAAGAAGCCAATATTAGGTTTGGAACAGAGTTAAGAGCCAATAGAGACATCATTTTTAATTATATTAAAAGCATCTTGTAAATTTCCCATCAGTTGCACCATAATATCTCTCCATTAATCACTGAAGGACAAGTGTTTGCAGCTTGGTCTCTTGTGGACAAAATTTGGGTATAAAATGTGGTTTAATCTCTTCAAGCCTCTGTAAATCTATGTCTCTCTCCCACTGGCTCCTATTCAGAGAAAAAATGGGGTTTGATGTAAAAAGAAAAAAAGTAGTTTGATGTAAGGGGGTACAAAAGGTGAGTGAGTATATACCTGCAGGATGTTTTGGGGTAAAGGATTCAAGTCAATCATGGCTGGTGATCACAAGAACTGAAATAAGGTCTGCATTTCTTCTTTTGGGGCAAGGCAAGAGGATGGGTAGCATTGTCAGGCTGAAAAATCAAGAGAAATGAAGTCTAATTCTGGCTCTGCCATTAATATACTCTGTGACCTTGGTTAAGTCAATTATTCTCTAAGATCTATTATTGGACTGGTTTAGCCACTCGGAATCTACCTATTTATTGCAGTGTGAATCCTCTTAAAGTCAACCTTCACTGGCTTCGCTTTTAATGTTATGCCCTTGGTTTTTATGAAAGGCCATTACAAGAAACAATAATATGAATTCTATTAATACAAGTATAAATCTGTGCCTAAGGAAATACTGGAGATATTTATTTCCTTGTTATGAAATTCCACATGAAAAAATTCTCATAGATTTTAATTCCAAGAAAACTTCTTCCTCTTCCCCAAACTTATCACAGAACCCATGTGTTAATACATTTCATATATTCCCTGCTACCAGAATGCCCAAATCCTCTTTTTTCATTTTTTTCTTTTATGACTTTAACTATCAAAATAATATACACTTATTATATACATATATATGTCCACAATTCAAAGTTAATCATTTTAATATTTTAATAGATGCCCCTCAAGTTTTCTTATGGGCAGTTTCTTACCCAGTTGAGTTCATATTCTATATGCAATCTTGTGTGACCCCTTTTTGTACATAGCATAGGTCTCATTCCACTGACTAGAAACTTGAATTCTGTTCATTTATCTAGATCCAACTTTTACCCTTCTGAACTTTTCATGTGGACATATACAGACATTTATATAGATTGATCAATCAATCAATTGATGTAGCTGTGTATCTACATGTATCATATAAAATATTCCATATAATGTATATAACATTCATTTGTATGCCATATTCATATATGGCATATATTAATGCATATGTTATGTGTCTTATATTTATAGACAATAAATGGAGAAGTGATTTGTGAAGTGTATAATGCCCCAAAACAGCGATTTTTGTCATTACCTGTAGGTTTACTGAAGGTCAAGGCCAGAATAGCTATTCCTCATCAAGTTAATCAAATAGTCTAGGCGTAGAGCAAGGTTTCAATACTGGTGAGCCTGGTAGAAGCCAGGCAACTGGAAAAAGCCCAAGAGTAACCATGTAGGCAGTAGAAGGTGGCAGGCATAGAACCCCAGACAGAGAATATAGCCTTCGTGGCTTCTAGCACAGATGCCCTGCACATTTATGTGTAGCCTCTAGAGAGGCTGTCAAGGTTCCACCTCTTTTTATGCCTAAATAATGTTAAGAAATGTCCCTCAACAAGCGAATGGATAAACTAAATTAATATATATTTATACAATTCAATATTACTCAGCAACAAAAAGAAACAATTGGCATACGTGTAGCAACCTAGGTGGATCTCTATTTGCTCTGTGAAGGCTAAACCATAAATAGAAAAACACCTGAGTGATTTCATTTATACGATAGGATATAAATGAAGTTATTCTGATTACATGAAATTTTAGAAAGTCAAATTAATCTGCAGCTAGAGAAAACAGGTCGGAGGTTGCCTAGAGAAGGATGTGGACATTTGGATGGATTACAGAAGGACATGAGGGAACTCTGTGGAGGTGAAGAGTATGATGGAAATGTTTGTTGTCTTCATTTTGCTGATGGTTTCACAGTGCATATATATGTTATAAGTAACCAAATTGTACACTTTAAATACTCATCAATCATTGTATGTAATATATCTTGATAAAGCTATAAAAACTTTTTAAAATTAAAAAAAAACAGAAATTTATCCAAAACTTGGAATTAAGGCAAAAAGGTGGGTGGCACATCCTTTCAATATCATATGGGGACAAGGAACTCCCCTGGATTGCCTAGAAGAATATATTTGACTCATCTCATTTTTAACCACAAATTAACATTTCCAGCTCTAGTGAAGTTACTTGTTCA